AAAGCAGGTAAAAAAATGCAGGTAGAAAAATAGGGACCACCTTTGGTGGGAAGGGAACAGCGTTCCGTGCGCCTTCGGTGTCTAGTCATGCCGGCCAATTGACCACGGAGACGTCTTCGGACAGCGCTGGCTCTTCGGCTTTGAAACGGAGATGAGAACCGCCCCCCTAGAGTCGGGAGCGACTAGCACATCTGTGCAAGGAGAACCTTCACCTTTTTACCTATTTATAGAGGAGACGGTCGTGTTGTGTTGTTCTTTCTTTTTTTTTTAATAAACGGAAAATGCTACTTTTGGACGAGGAAGGGACTCACTGATTGTCTACCACCCTCAAGGTGGTCCCCAAGAGGATTCCCAAAGAAGAGAAGTTCCCATCTCTGGTCGCTGCTCGAAGCTATCCTAGATATGAATCTGGGTTTGTGGGTGTTCGGGCTAGCGAAAGGGGTGAATGGGTTAGGGATTTTGGAAGCGGTGCACACCAGAAGAACTTCAGCTATAAATATTCTCCCTAACAAAGGGAGAGAAGGAAGGGTCAGGAATGGAGAAGGCCACGCTACAGACGTTGCCTTCAACATGGGCGTGAAACCTTACTTCCTTGTGTCTACTTTCGAGATGTGGCCCTCCTTTTCTCGTGCTCCTTCATGGCTGCCCATGGTCTCCCACTTGCTCCCCAGCATCTCCAAGACTGGGCCAGCTACAGCCAAGCCAAAAACACTTGAGAAAGGACCACCATCTGCAGAGGTGCAGCAAGCTGGACAATCCATGCATCGGCGAGAATACTTGAATGCGGTTTGACAGAGTGATGTTTAAAAACAAAAAACAAAAAAATAAGAAACCACCACAGATAAATGGTACTATTTATCCCTCTGAAAGTAGCAGCTCTTCCTTCTCTTTCTGGACTGCTGAAGCTGAGCTGCTGCCTTTGTTTTTTCTCAATTCTGCTTTTGATAGTTTTCTTTTATGTAAATATATACATATCCGAGTTTAAAAAAAAACACAGATTAAAGGGGAAAAGAAACCAAGACGCTGCTTTCAGCGGCAGTAGAATTTTATGGCTTCCTCCTTTCCTTCCTCCCTCCATCCCTCTCTCCTTCCCTCCCTCTTGCCTCCTTTCATACATCTCCTTCCTTCCTCCCACTCTCCATCCTCCTTCCTTCCTTCCCTTCCTCCCTATCTCCTTCCCTCCTGCCTCCTTCCTTTCTCCCTCCCAGTCTCCATCCCTTCCTTTCTTCCTTCATTCCCTTCCAACCTTCCCTCCACCCTACCTTCTTCCCTCCTGCCTCCTTCTGTCTCCTTCCTTTCTCCCTCCCACTCTCCATCCTCCTTCCTTCCTTTCCTTCCTCCCTATCTCCTTCCCTCCTGCCTCCTTCCTTTCTCCCTCCCAGTCTCCATACTTCCTTCCTTTCTTCCTTCATTCCCTTCCAACCTTCCCTCCGCCCTACCTTCTTCCCTCCTGCCTCCTTCTGTCTCCTTCCTTCCTTCCTCCCACTCTCCATCCTCCTTCCTTCCTTCTCTTCCTCCCTATCCCCTTTCCTCCTGCCTCCTTCCTTTCTCCCTCCCAGTCTCCATCCTTCCTTCCTTTCTTCCTTCATTCCCTTCCAACCTTCCCTCCCCCCAAAACTTCTTCCCTCCTGCCTCCTTCTGTCTCCTTCCTTTCTCCCTCCCACGCTCCTTCCTCTCTCCTCACTCCCTCCTTCCATTCTGTCTCCTTTCTCCCTCCTTTCCTTCTTTCTCCCTCCCACCTTCCCTCCCTCTTTTCCTTCCATCCTCCCTTCCTTCTTCTTCCTCCCTCCCTCCTTTCTTTCTTTCTTTCTTTCTTTCTCTCTTTCTCCTTTTCTTCCTTTTTCCTCCTCTCCGTGGATTTGTTTGCAGTGTGGTCCCAGTGCAATAAAGATATGGCAAATATGTGGCCTCCGTGATTCCGTGATTCCACTCATCCCAACAGGAAAAAAAAATGCACTAGCTCAAGGCTGTTTATCGCCCTCTTTTTTTAAAATTTATTTTTCTGAAACACAAGTTTGAGCGTGTTCCACCTTGACCTGCCTGAACATGCCCCAGAAGGAGACTCTTAAGTCACATTAATTCACCCAGGTGCCTCCAGCTTCTACAGACAACCTTTTCCATGTTGCCTCTCAAACTACAGAAAGTTCTCTCTTTCGCTCTGCCTGATCAGATTTGTCCCTTGTTCTTCTTTCCTTTGTCTCTCGTTTTGGCCAGCTTCACGTGACAATTGATCCCTCTTTCACCCCCTCCTATTCTTTCCCAGGGCTGAAGCCTCTACAACTTAATTTCTCACGGTATTGTTCATACATCTTGTTAGGTAAGCTCCCCGTTGGGAGAGCGAGTATGTTCAGTGAAGCGTTGTGAGAGTTGTGTTGGAGAACACACAAAACA